TCCACTCCTTAAGAACAGCCGCAGCCACCTCCCCCTTAGTCTTCAAAGGGTAGACCCACACCGCACGCGTGTGGTCGTCCACAATGGTCAAGAAGTAGCGGCTGCCCGAGAGAGAAGGGGCCCTAGTAGGGCCCATCACATCCATGTGGACTAGCGGAAGTGGAGCCTTGGCTGGTCCCGTGCTGCTGCTGAAGGGGAACTTGGTGAATTTAGTCTCAAGGCATGTAGGGCAGCTCCCAATCTCCTTTGCTGCCCCCTTCACCTCCAGCCCCTTCAAGCTCCCATCCTTCACTAGCTTCTGCAGCATAGGGAAATTCACATGACACAGCCTCTCGTGCCACATCTCCCAATCGGCCTCACCACTCCCAGATGAAGCATTTGCCCATGCAGCGGTTGCATCCACACCAGCAAGCACCTCACCATGTGGCTGCTGTGGCTGCTGCACCTTCTTGACTGCACCCACGGCCCCATTAGTTGGTGCAGTCTCCTCTCCTCCCGCAGTTATTTTAGCCGTTGCCGCTGCTGCTACCGTTGCTGGTGGTTTCCCATTCCAAGGGATGATGGGCAGTTGCCAGCTGCTCTTCTCCTCCAAGTCCCACAACAGCAACTTCCCAAGCTTTGCACGGCAGCTGGATGGGCCGAAAGTCACTTTGGCCTTGCTTTTCTGCAGCCGGCGCACAGAGAGGAGGTTAGTGGACAAACCTTCAACCAACAGCACATTCCCCAGCCCCACAAGCCCTCCATTGGCTCCCATCACCTTGGCATTCCCAACACCAATCACAGGAAGCAAAGCACCTGAAGCGGCAACCACAAACTTGATCTTCCCAGGGGGTTTTACCTCGTCAAGCAAATCTGCCCGTGGGGTCATGTGACTTGTGCAACCTGAATCTATCACCCAATGGGTGAGAGGGTGCATCACTGTCAACGGGAGTTGTGCGTTGGCCCTGTCGTCGCTTGGGCGGAGCCGACTTCGTGATCGGGTGTGAGGGGAGCAGCCGACCTGCAGCAGTGGGCAAGCTGGTTGACGAGGAGGCCGACCTGCACAGGGGCCACTGCACGGGCGCCGACTTCAGGGAGGTCGACCTGGGAAGTCGACCTGCGGAGGGCGTCAACTTGGTGACGCCAACTTCGGGGCAGCCGACTGGATGGCGAGAGAGTTAGGTAGGGTCCAAAAAGTTGAACTAGGAAGAGAAATGTCGAGGTACAAAAGAGAGAGGGTTGGAAACCCTAATTGAACCTAGGGTGTGTTCGGTTTGTATTAAAAACTGCCAAATGAACCTAAAATGAACCTGAAGGCGTAACTCTCTCTAAGCATGGAGAAATAATATAAGAACACCACAATAAAGACCAGAGCGAGCTCTAGCCTACTCCAACACACCCCCTGGCTAGGTGAAGCTCTGGAGCAATACATCTAGCGAACCGGCACACCCCCAGAAGTGGAGAGACGCGTGAACCCAAGCTCGCGCATGTAGAAACGGTGTGGCGCACGCAGAAGGGCCTTGGTGAAAATGTCAGCAAGATTGGCAGCAGCGTCCACCTTGCGCAGACGTAGGAAACCAGACTGCACCAGCTCGCGCACAAAGAAAAGCGGACCTCGATATGCTTGCTGCGGGCGTGATAGACAGGATTTTCAGTGAGATGAATCATGCTCGCACTGTCACAGGAGAGCGTCACAAAGGACTGATAGTGACCAAGCTCAGCAAGGAGAAAGGAGAGCCAGCGAGCCTCCTGAGCTGCCAAGGTGCTTGCGTACAACTCAGCCTCGCAGGTGGAAAGGCAGACAGAGGATGAGCGAGTAGAGCGCCAGCTTATGAGACCACTGCCAAGAGTGAAACCGTAGCCCGAGATGAGCGGTGATCAGGGCGGGAGTCAGCATAGGAAGAGTCACTGTAGCCGGAGAGAACGGGAGGAGCATAGCCACCAAGAGTGAGAGCGAGGTCAGAGGTGGCGCGCAGATAGCGCAGGACGTGCTTAGCAGCCGCCCAGTGCACGTCAGTGTGGCGGCCTAGTCCAACAAAGTGAGAGAGAACACTAAGGGGGTAAGCAAGGTCGGGGCGAGTGCACATCATAGCATGCATGAGAGATCCAACGAGCTCAGGATAAGGCCGCAGCTCAGAGGAGGGAGCAGGGACGGCAGGGGCAGTGAATTGATGGTTAGTGGGAAGAGGGGTGGAGACCGGCTTGGCCTGCGACATCTCAAACCGCTGAAGGATGGACTGGATATAGAAATACTGGGAGAGAGAGATGGTTCGGGCAGCACGATCACGACGGATCTCCATGCCGAGGTAGTGACGAAGCTCGCCAAGGTCCTTGCACATGAGACGCGCCTGCAGGGCTTTCTTGACAGCTGCAAGATCGGCGAAGTCCTCAACAAGCAGCACCAAATCGTCCACATAGGCAAGGATGTAAAGCCTATGGGGGGATGTGCGAATGAAGAGACGGGGGTTGGAGGTGGAGGTAGAGAAGCCAAGAGAGTGAAGGGTGGAGGCAAGCTTGGCGTGCCACTCGCGTGGGGCCTGTTTAAGGCTATACACAGGTCGTTTCAATTCCCAAACCGTGCCTGGAGGGAAAGGGCGAGAAAAGCCAGCGGGGCGCTCAAGGAATATGCGCTCATGCAGCTCGCCCTGGAGGAAAGCATTGGAAACGTCCATGGAATGGATCTCCCAATTCCAGTGAGCACCTAAGTCAAGAAGGAGGCGAAGGGTGGGGAGACGGGCTGTGGGGGAGTAAGTGGCAAAGTAATCAATGCCTTCACGCTGAGTGAACCCCTTGGCACAGTAGCTGGCCTTGAAGACAGAAAGTTTGCCGGGCAGCTGCTTGACATGGAAGACCCATTTGCCTTTGACAATGGTGGCGCCAGGGGGGGGAATAGAGTCAATGTATGAATTAGTTCTGGTGAATGCCTCACACTCAGCAATGATGGCAGCCATCCATTAAGTGGCATGAAAGCCCCACACAGCCTTGGAGTAGGACTGAGGGGTGGGAATGGCAGCGGTGTCGACAGAGAGAAGAGTGGGAGAATTGCTAAAGTCACCAACGGTGACACACAGGAGAAGAGAAACAGGATGAATGTTGAAGAGCTCCTCAAAGCGATCTTCAAGAAGAGTAACATTCTGAGATGGAGAAAGATGAGTGAAAAGAGCAGAGTGCTGAAAACTAGAAAGTGCGCGAGTCATGGAGCGAGTAAGGCGTGGGCAAGGGGGGGGGATGGGAACAGACGAAGGAGGTGGAGAGGAAGATGGAAGTGAGGAAGGGAGGGGAGCCAAAGATGAAGAGGCGGGTGGAGAGGCGCCAGAGATGATGTCGGAAGGGGGGGCAGTAGAGGCTGGTGCAGAGGGAGGGGCGGGAAGGGGCAGGATAGGAGGGGGGGAGGAGGGGAGGGAAGGACAGACGGCGGCTGATCGAAATCAGACCAGTGAAGAGAGGGGACAGGAGGGGCGGGTGGGGGGGAATGGAATGGGGATTGAGTCTCATAGAAAATGACGTCCTGGCTGCAGATGAGTTGGTGAGAGGAAGGGGCATAGAAAAGATAGCCACGACAGTCAGAGTTGATGCCAAGGAATGCACAGAGCTGCGTCTTGGGAGCGAATTCCCCACCCTGACGGGACCGGTCTACTGGATTGACAAGAACATGGGCGACACACCCCCAAACCCGAAGAGGGCGAACAGAGGGCTGGTGGCCAATCCAAAGCTGGAAGGGGGTGGTGCTAGGGCAAAGAGGATGAGGGCGGAGGTTAGAGAGTAGAGTGGCATGGAGGAGAGCTTAGCTCCAAAGAGAGTGGGGAGCAGAGGCATGGGTGAGAAGGTAGCGAGTGATTTCCATGAGAGTGCGATTGCGACACTCGGCAACCCCATTCTGTTTGGGTGAGTGAGGAAGAGTGGAGGTCTGGCAAATGCCATGAGAGGCACAGTAAGAGGAGAGAGAGTGATTAAAGAATTCGCCACCACCATCCGAGTGGAAGCGCGCAACAGGTCACTTAAAGCGTAGACGAGCCTGCTCAGCCCAGCGAATGATGAGGGAGGGAGCATCAGATTTGGCACGGAGGGGATAGACAGTGGCAAATCGTGAGTGGTCATCAACCAAAAGCAGAAAGTAGCGATGACCCTGACGAGAAGCAGTAGGTGAAGGACCCCAGAGGTCCATATGAACAAGGTCAAGGGGTTGGGGAGAGGCAGAGGGAGACGAGGGATGGAGTGACTGGGATAATTTGGCCTGGACACATGGGGTGCATGGAGGAGCAAGAGAGGGAGGAAGGGGGGGGAGAGAGGAAGGGAGGCCATGAAGAAGCTTGGAGGAGACCATACTGCGAAGAAGGGGAAAATTGGGGTGGCCAAGCCGATGATGGAGGAGAAGGGTAGGTTGAGTGAGAGAACGACAGTCGTAAGAAGGAACGGGAGGGGCGGAAGCGGAAGACGCATGATGGGCAGAAGGGGGGAGAGAGACACGAAGAGTGTAGAGGCGAGTGATAGGGGAAAGAGTAAAGCGTGCAAGATGGTGGTTGCGATGATAGAGATCACAATAGGAGTCACATTCAGGAAAGATAGCTCGCACACAAAGACGTTGAAGAGCAGAGAGAGAGAGAGAGAAGGTTGTGGCGGCAGGAAGGGACATAGAGGTCAGTTACAGCACCAAAGGGGGAGGCAGGACAGGGAAGAGAGGAGGTAGCAGTGCAAGTCATGGTCATGGTATCCCCAGCTCCTTGAATGGAGAGGGGATGGGGAAAAGAGCGAAGCACACCAGCGTCACGAAAAACAGAGTCAGTGGCACCACTGTCAAGAACAAACTCGAGAGTGTGAGGGAGAGAAAGAGCAGCAGTTGTGGGACGAAGATACTGAGAATCATTGCCATTAACAAAAGGAGCAAAGATCATGGAAAAACGAGGGTCCATAAGGGGAGAAGCCCCCAAAATGCTATCCTGACTAGGCATAGTCACACTGAGAGCAGAGGTTTGAGCACTGGTACCAGAGTCAGCAGCCACAAGTACCGCCTGGGCAGAAGACTAGCGACGCTGACGAGAGAGTTGAAGCCAATTGGGAGGGCAACCAGTGTTGCCAGCCAGGAACCAGTCATCGGTGAGCTTCAGGAAGCAGGAGGAGGCGGGATGATTGGTGCGACTGGAGGGCTGACCCTTGCGGGGCCCCTGGCGAATGACGTAGGTGCAAGGAGGAAAGGTGTTGCAAGGGCGAGAGGAAGCAGCGGCGGCAGTGGAGGTGGGGAGAGGGGGGGGGGGGGCGGAAGAGGGTGTGACAGCGGCGGCAGTAGGAGGGCAGCTGCGGAGGTTGAGCTCTGCCTGGAGGAGGAAGGCAGAGACACGAGAGAACGACCACTGGTCGGCAGGGCGCTCACCATACAGAGTGACATGAACACTGTATTCAGGAGTGAGGCATGTGAGGAGGAGGGCACCGCACACATGATCGGAAAGTTCAAACTTTTGAAAGGCAAGTTGGGAGGACAGCGTCTGCACACGAGCGATGTAGTCCGCCATGGTGGTGAAGTCAGCAAGGCGAAGAGAGGTGAGCTCGCATAAGAGGGCAACGACACTGATAGGAGTCTGCGACTGGAAGCGCTCGGTAAGATAGCCGAGAAGGTCCTTGGCATAGCGGATGTGCGAGCACTGAGGGAGAAGAGTTGGAGGGAGGCACGCAAGGATGACCTGTCAGGCACGTGCGTTGGCAACATGCCAGTCAGCGAGAAGGTCAGAGTGAGATGGAGCAGAGGAAATGGGCGTAGACGCAGAGCGAGGAGAAGGGGCAGCGAGGTGCTCACTGAGGCGCTTGCGGGTGCTCTCGAGGGACTCAGCAAGAATACGAGCTAAGTCACGGGCAGCAGCATTGTCAGGAGCAGCCGTGGTGGTGGCTTGCGCCGTGGTCACAAGCCGCTCAGTTTCAGCAATGGCAGCACGGAGGCCATCAGCATAGGGGTCAGAGGAGGAAGAGGTGGGTCCAGAGGGAGAGGTGGGAATGGCGCCAGAACCACTCTGCTGAGTGACAAACCAGAGGTTAAAGCCACTCACGAGGGTGCCAGACAGCGTGCGCTCAAGACAGTTCAGCCAACTGGGGAAGTTGACTGCACTGCCATTGGGCGCAAGCTGAAGGACCAGCAGAGGGAGGGAGGGGAGGGCGAGAGAGGTCGCCATGAGGAGGAGGAAACAGCTGCAGAGCAGATGTGGGGAGAGGTATAAGAGGCGGAGGAATAAGGGCGGGGTAGTCTGCTGCTGAGCCGCTGAGGGGAGAAACAAGAGGAGGAGGGAAAGTGGCGGAGTAGTCTGCTGCTGAGCCGATGCGGGGAGAAACTAGAGGAGGAGGGGAAATGGTGAAGTAGTCTACTGCTGCGCCAATGAGGGGAGAAACCAGAGGAGGAGGGAAAATGGTGGAGTAGTCTGCTGCTGCGCCAATGAGGGGAGAAACCAGAGGAGGAGGGAAAATGGCGGAGTAGTCTGCTGCTGCGCCGATGAGGGGAGAAACCAGAGGAGGAGGGATAGCGGCGGAGAAGTCTGCTGCTGTGCCGCTGAAGGGAGGAGGAAGAGTTGGGAAGAGTGTGCAGTTGAGCAGTTGAGAGGAGGATGTTGAGGAGGAGGGAAGGTGTGGAGGAACATTAGCTACACAACACAATCAGCTACCAACTGCAGCAGATGAAGAGAGAAAAGAGGTGGAGGAGGGGTGAGATAGTGGAGAGGGAACTAGTGGGAGAGAGGGTAGGAGGAGGAGGGTGAAGGGGCGGATTGTGGGAAGGGCAGGGCGCGCCACAAGGAGCTGCGAGCCGCAGCAGATGGGGAGAGAAAATAGGAAGAGGAAGAGGTGAGGTATTGGGGGAAGCACAAAGGAGAGAGGGAAGGAGGAGGAGGGTGAGGGAAGGGGCGGATTGAGGAAGGGCAGAGCGCGCCGCAAGGAAGGGCAGGCACGCGCGCTGCTGGATGATGCTTAGCGCGCGCGGCGGCAAGAGCGCAATGCGCGCGCGACGAGACAGGGAGGGGGGAGGGGACGGCTGAGCGCGTTACGGGCGGAAATCGGCGTGCTACCGTCCGAAACGTAAGGAGGAGGAAGCGGGATGAAGAGGGAAGGTGCGGGCGGATAATCTGAACGGTAGGGAGGCGAGCTTCGGACTAGATCAGGGCACCCGAGCAAGTATAACAAAGAGAACCGCGTGGATGCTAAGAGTGACGGGAAAGAAACGAGAGGAAAGGAAAAAATAAGTCGTCTAGCTAAGTACGGAGATTGTCGCGGAAAACGGCCTAAGGGCCGGAGATTGTCTAAGAAATGCGGATGAATATGAAACGCCTAGGACTACGCTCTGAATACCATGTTAAGATGAGAGGAGCCATGGATGGCGAGAGAGTTAGGTAGGGTCGAAAAAGTTGAACTAGGAAGAGAAATGTCGAGGTACAAAAGAGAGAGGGTTGGAAACCCTAATTGAACCTAGGGTGTGTTCGGTTTATATTAAAAACAACGAAATGAAACCTAAAATGAGCCTGAATGCGTAACTCTCTCTACGCATGGAGAAATAATATAAGAACACCACAATAAAGACCAGAGCGAGCTCTAGCCTACTCCAACATCACCAACTCAGCCCGAGCCTACTACAAACGCCAAGGTCACCAAGAGGAGTGTGCAGAGAGGAGCTTCACCACATGGGCAGCAGACTGCAACCCGCGAGAAGAGAGTGACAGCAACACCCTCAAGGCTGAAGTATAGCCGTTTGGGAGGACCCAAGCAAGGTGCCATGGCAGTTCAGGCGGATGAGGGAGAGGATGAGGAGATGGCCTTGTGTTTCTTCACACCCTTGCCTGGAGGACCATCCACATTGGAGGAGGCACTCAGTGGACCCCAGAAGGAGGAGTGGAAGGCTGCCATGGATGCGGAGTTCCACAGTCTCATTGAGAATGGGACTTGGGAGCTTGTTGAGTTACCCGAGGGGCGACGGCCGATCAGCAGCAAGTGGGTCTTCAAGGTGAAGAGTGGTGCTGATGGTGCGCTGGAGCGGTTCAAGAGCCGTTTGGTCGCCAAGGGGTTTCAGCAGAAAGAGAAGGTCGACTTTGGGGAGATCTTCGCTCCCGTTGCTAAGCCAGTGACACTGAGGACTTTGATGGCTGGAGCAGCTGTGAAGGGATGGCACGTGAAGCAGATGGATATCACCATTGCATTCCTCAATGGAGTGCTGCTGGAGGATATCTACATGGCGCAGCCCGACGGCTATGAGGATGGGACCAGCCGGGTGTGCAAGCTCAAGAAGGCTATCTATGGCCTTAAGCAAGCGCCCAGGTGTTGGTACAAAAAGCTGGAGGAGGTGCTGCTGAGTGGAGGCTTCAAGACGTCCCAAGCGGATCACAGCTTGTTTCTGCTTGGAGAAGGGGAGCAGTTGCTCTTGTTGCTGGTGTATGTCGATGACATACTGTTGTTCTCACCTTCCATGGAGCAGATTGAGAGGACACAGAAGTTGCTGATGGACAACTCCAAGTGCAAGATGCTGGGGGATGTCCACTACTACTTGGGGATGCAGATTGAGAGGGATGTTAAGAGGAGGTGGCTGAAGGTGCATCAGTCACACTACACCTTTGGTGTCATGGAGCGCTATGGTGTGACTGGGGGTCGCACTATGATGACACCATTCCCTGTGGGCTTCAAACTGAAGAAGGCAGCTGAGGAGGATGATGTACTCGAGGATGAGCAGCAGAATGAATACCAATCACTCATTGGGAATGTGATGTATGCAGCTGTGCATACGCGACCTGATGCTTCATTCGGAGTGGGGCTGCTGGCCAGAGTTGTGCAGCGGCCCACTGAGGAGCAGATGGAGGTGGCAAAGCGCTTGGTGCGCTACCTTGGATCAACGGCATCTGCTGGTGTTCAGTTTTCAGCTGGCGGCCAGCTGAAACAGATTGGAGCAAATGGGGTCACGCCTGGAACCTTGAAGTTGTCGTGCTTCACCGACGCTACGTGGGCTTCAGAGGAGGAGGATCAGTGATCAGTTGGCAGCTTTGTCTGCATGGTTGGAGGTGGACCAATGAGCTGGAGGTCCAAGAAGCAGAGTGAGATTGCTCAATCTTCTGGAGAGGCAGAGTACATGGCGATGTACCATGCCATCAAGGAGATTGTGCTCCTGAGGAAGCTGCTGGAGGACATGGGAGCTGGACAGGAGGGACCTACACCACTTTTCACCGACAACGAGGCTGCCATTGGCATGGCCAATAATCCTATCCTGAATGGGCTGAACAAGCACATGAATATTAAGTGGCACTGGGTGAGGCAGATGGTGAAGGAGGGGATTGTTCAGCTTCACCATGTAAAGGCTAGCAAGCAGGCGGCAGATTTTCTCACCAAGAGACTTCCCGAGAGCGCACATTGGAAGTGTGCAAAAATGTGTGGCCTGGCATTGCACTAGTTTAGGCAGCAGTGTCATGAGTGCATGTGTGATTGTGTGCATGAGAGTTTGCATGTGTGTTAGTGTGTGTGCATGCAGTCCGTTAGTCTGAGGGGGAGTTTGTTGGATGCACGTCATTCTGAGTGCATGTCATCCTAACGTCCTGCCGAGTGCTCGTGCTATTCATGCGTGAATTGTTTGCATGAGCATATGTCATTGTGCATGGCTGTTGGATATTTTCATCTCTGTGTTTTTCTCCAAGTTTAAATGCTTGATCATGTAGGAGAAGTCCAGAGATTTCCAACGATACCAAGATCGCCTTATTCCGACCAAGATCGCCCAAGTTACAAGAGTTCCAAGACTTGGATTTCTTGTTGCCTTTGGGGGTTGTATCTAATTTGGGTGATTACTTGGTCATGACTATAAAGGGATCTTTGGTTGGGTGGTTAGGGAAGGCAACTTTGACTTTTGGATTGGGGTGGCTAGAAGTTTCTAGCATGGGTTGCAAATGTTGCAACACCTAGGCAAAATCCAACTGGATTGGATTTTGCATGTGACACCTCAAGGACCTCATGATGAGGGTTGCATCCTTGCTGCTAGGAAGGTTCCTACGATCCTTCCCTAGCTCTTGGATGCGGAGATAACTGCTGCAACGGGAGCTAGACTACGGGCTAGGCACGGGTGCTCGGTTGATCTCTGCGTTCGTTCACTTAGTCGTTTCATTGTGTTTACGCTGCTTGCTAGTACACAGGGAGAATTGGCAAGAGTTTCACTAGGAAAACATGACAATAATGATAGCAACAACATTGGCATCACAGACTACATCAGTGCTAGCTAGGCTGCTGGTAGACCTCCAGCGCAGCAGCGCTCGCACCGCTCCAGCGTTGCAGAGTAGCGGTTCGCCAACGTTGCAAGTCCACGGTGTGCCAGCGCTGCAGCAAGTTGACTGCACAGCGCTGCACCCGCAGGACAACGGTGCACCTGCTTCGCAGGTGCGCGCAGCTGGTTGGTGCGCACTTCCCTGCCACGTGTATAGCGCAGACGCCTGGCCGACTCCACGCCAGCGACTGTACCCACCAGCCACGTCGACCTCGGGATACCACCCCCGAGGTCGGCCTCGCAGACTCCGCCCTGGCGACACTCGCGCACGTCGCCTGGGTATTCCGGTCAACCGAGCAACCACGCCTGGCCGACCAGCGTAGTCCGTAGCCGGCCACGGATGCCCGGCGTCCCAAGTACGGCGTCGAGGCGCCCAGGACGCCTTCCGAACCCCCAGGTCGGCGTCCAGACGCCCAGGACGGTGTCTGGGTCCCCCGAGACGCCCAGGTCGGCGTCCAGACCCCCAAGACGCCGTGCAGACGCCTAGGTCGGCAGCTGGCCTTCCAGAACGCCGTGTAGGCGCCCACGACGTCGACCAGGCGCCCGGGTAATCGTGGCGACGCCGAGCTCGGCGTCCAGCTTCCCAGGACACCGTCCAGGCGTCCGGGATGCCAACCAGGCGTCCAGGGCGGCGCCCTCTTGCTCGGCGCCCTCCAGCCAGGCGCCCTCCTGCTTGGTGCCCTTGCAGTGGCCCCCATGCCCACTGCTGCAGGTCGGCTGCAACCCCCGCACATCCGATCACAAGGTTGGCTCCGCCCAAGCGAGGACGGGGCCTTACAACACTCCCGTTGACACTCCCCTGCCGCGTTCACGCTTCGGCCCCTAGCCCACACGACAGTACAGCACCGAGAATAGCCCGTCAGCGTGCACCCAACACACAGCACGCCGGTCACCACACCAGCCATGCAAGAGGGCATGGCACCTACTTCTGCACGTCGTTGTCGCCGTCGCCCACGTCGGCCAAGCGCACCTGGCCGATTGCGACGGAGCACCAGTTGAAGGCCGGATAGTGCAGCCCCTTCGTCAGGAAGTCGGCTGGCTGCTCAGCGGTCGGGATGTACTGCAGCGAGAACTTCCCGCGCTTCACCATGTGCTGCAGCCAGGCCTGTTGCCGCTCCATGTGCTTGAGGTTGCCTGTCAACCCCATGCCCTCGGCGACCGTGATGGCCGACTTGTTGTCCAGGCGCAGGACAGTCGGCTTCCCGGCGTCCAGCTGCCGGAACTCGGTGAGGAAGAAGCGAAGGCGGCGTCCCTCCTTGCCAGCTTCAGTGGTCGCCACGTACTCCGACACGGTCGACGACAGCGTCGCGCACTTGATGCGCTGGCTCGACCAAGAGACTGCGGCCCCACCGTAGACGAACACGTAGCCAACCGTGCTCGTCCTGTTTTGCTTGTCATCCGCGTCGTCGGCGTCCACGTAGCCGACCAGCTCGAGTGACTCAAGTCCACCGCCGAACTCCAGGGCGGTGTCACGGGTGTTGGCGAGGTAGGCAAGGCAATGGCCGACCTCGCGCCAAGGCTGGTTGCTCCTCATCGTGAGGCCGCTCCCCAGCTTGCTGCAGGCGAAGGCGATGTCCGGCGTCGTCGTCGTTGCCGCGAACTGCAACGAGCCGACCTTCTGCCGTTACTCCTCCTCCTGGCGTTCCTGCGCCTCCTCGTCGTCGAAGGTGAGCTCGGCGTAGGCGTCGACCGAGACCTGCGTCTTCGGGGTGCGCCCGGTCTGCTCCTCGTCGATGAAGCGCCTACGTAGCTTGTCGGCGTAGCCCTGCTGGTGCAGCCACAACTTCCTCGCCGACCTATCGCGCACGATCTCCAGCCCAAGGTACTTTTGCACCGGCGAGATCTCGCGCAGCTCAAAGGCGGCTTCCAGCAGCTCCTTCAGCTCCTTCAGCATCGCGGCGCTGCTGCTGGCGGCGAGCAGGTCGTCAACGTAGACCAGCACCCAGCAGGCCACTCCGTCCTCGCCGACCTTGAAGTAAAGAGCCTCGTCGACCTGGCTCTTCTTCCACTCAGCGCCGACCAGCACATCGTTGAGCGCCAAGTACCACAGCAGCGGCGACTGCTTCAGCCCATACAGGCTCTTCAGCAGCCTGCACACCCGGTTGGATCCGTCGTTGAAGTAGTCCGGCTGGTGCATGTACAGCACCCGGTCGAGCTTGCTCTGCAAGAAGGCGTTCTTCATGTTGAGCTGCATCAAGTTGAGGTTGAGGACGGCGGCGATGCTGAGGAAGATCCTCAGCGTGATGTAGCTGCCCACCGACACGAACGTCTCATCGTAGTCGGCGCCATACACCTGCGTGAAGCCCTTCACGACCAGCCTCGCCTTCTCTCGCTCGACGGTGTCGTCCATGTGGTACTTCGTCGTCAACACCCACCGGTTCTTTATGATGTTCACTCCCGGCGGGCGTTCGACCAGCTCCCACGTTCCCATGTTGATGAGGCTGCGGATCTCCTCTTCCATGGCGGCCTTCACCGCCGGGCCCTT